GAATATCTTGTGTAGAAAATTGTTTATAAATACCTGTACTTCTTTGATGATGGTTGTATTAGTTATCCAGGTTTCAGCTTCGTACTATAGAACTGTCTTGATATCTCTATTAAAGATTCTCACTTTGATATTGATCGAGGAAAGTTAACTTATACTAAATAATTAGACATAAGAAATTCTATTTTTATTCCACTGAAATACAACAAATCTATTATTATCTTATTTTTTATAAATTCAAATAACTGTTTTCTAATATAGACATCAAACATATTAACTAAGGTTGACAGTCTCTATATAATTTTCATAAAGCTTCAATATCATTATAGCGTCGGTTATTATGTTAAGCCCATATACCTTATTGTAGCGTTCGGACAGCCTATTCTATTCATTCTACTTGAGTCACATTCTGGCCTTGTTAATTATTTGCTTATCAATCTTGACTGTTTTTATACGAGCGCGTGGGTGTGTGTACATTTCTTATCCCATTACTTCATCACATGTTTGTAACTTACTTTTGTGTAACTATAATTATTGAATAACGCTTGATTAAATGGGAGTTGGCTTACCAGCCACCGCCACTCGGCGTCGTTTCTCTTCTCTCTATTCCATTTGCTTCATATACAAAATATATATGTATGCAAAAGTCCATTCTCGTTATTTGACTTACCTAAATCCGTTATTGACTAACACGATTAAAGTCGATGATCATATACGAGTATAGGCGACATATATATTTCAACAACAATCATCATTACGATCTCCTTGGAGTCAGATCTCGGGCGACTAAAGTGGAGAGCCGTTTCGACAACATCGTTCAACCTCCACAGAATCATATTTTAACAATAAAATGAATACAATTTAATGAGTGTAATGAATCTTTTCATCCATTTTATCACACCTACATTCTTAAAAAAATATGAATAGATGTGTAACTATTTTTCGCTTTTGTTTGTTTTTACTTTCTTTGCCATTTTCTTTTATTACATTTTACAATTTAATTTTATGATCTGGAATATCCAAGGAGAAAATGAAGAAAAAATATATTTTTTTTCTTTATTGATTTCTAGATTTCAGTAATTGAGATCATGAATCCATTGAAGTTAGATCACCATTGAAATGACTACAATCTCTATAAAACCCCTTTCTGATCCCCATAATGATTTGTCTTTCTTTTTTCTTTTCTTTTCTTTCATAAATGAATATCAATTGAATTGAAAGTTTTTAATGAATACTTGTTTAGTTAAACAAAACATGCTCAATAAAATGGTAGTAAATTTTACAGTTACCTATTGAAAGAGATAGAATAATATTGTTCTTAGGGATAAATGGTATCGAGAAAAAAACTGTTATGTAACATTTTACTTTGAAGAAATAAAACCAATTAAAAAATTGACTCTTTTTATTGACCAATGAGTTTCTTTTTTTTGTTTTTTTATAATATTAATTCTTTTTGAGAAGGGTTTCAATTCATCAACCATTCTTCTTTTATTTTCACGAATAATTCTCACTGAAATAAATTACTTATATTGTGGTGTGGGTTACTTATATTCACATAAGTAGTATATAACGATGGTCAGGCATAGGATGTATATCAGTAGAAGATCGATAAGGAAAGAACGGAAACGGAACGCAGTTGGTATGAAGACGCATGAACAATGAAATCTGAGACAATGGATTAATGTTTGCAACAGGAACAGTCAAGTTTGAAATGATGGATTGATATTTTGTAAACTAACTGTTTACTATATGGTTCTCATATTTTAGTGAGATCCTCTGTAATTTCGTGTTAAATACATTCGATTGTCCCCACTCGTGTTCTTGTTCACTATAACAGAAGTGTAACTGATTTATATGAGCAGTTCGAATAGAGTATGGGAATATTACGAATGTGTAATTGCAGAGTTTTTGGAGTGAACTTTGACTAGTACAGTTATTAACAATATTATCATTTGAATTAGTTATCTTAAATATGTGTTTTCTAAAGATCGGTGATTTACAAAAGTATTTGAAGCTCAAATTTACTTGGTATTGTTTGTTTATATCTTCCCATTGTTGTTTAGGACTGCAATTGATCAGTACATCCTGTGAGGACTGCCTCGATATTGCCTTAAGTCACAAGCTTTATAATCAAAGATGGATAGTGTCTAGCAGTGAAATGCAGGACATACATTTCGTCCTAGCTGAATGGATAACGTGATGGCGCTTGAATCGAACGGTACTGGGTTCGAGTCCCGGAGTGAACATCACCGTTGGGATGTAGGAACATCCAGCTTACTAGTCCCGAATAGGACGAAATGCGTGTCCTGGATTCTGCTGCCAACCACTATCCATCTTTGCTTAAAAAGTACATTTCATTTGTTTAAATTTCTCCATTGTTGAATATCATGTCATTTACAAAATCCAACTTACTTGTAAAACAGCTGTCATCTTGATTGTTTCAACATTCATATTATCATAGTAACAAAATGTTTTGACTGTTGACTTTTAATTTAATTGTTTTATTAAATGCTAGAGTATAATTTTTTTTCAAAAAAATGTTTTTTAGCACGTATTATTAGCGTTTACTTGAAAGCTGGAGTGATCATACAACAAATCACAAGAGTAAAACTGTGACGGTCTTACTTTTAAGTTCTGTTGTTTAAGGCGTTGAAGAACAGCTTTCAATTTAGCATTGTGTTGTTTGGATGTGCTGCCATACACAATAACGTCATTAACATATATTAAGAGAAAACGTATTACAAAATAGTTTTATCCATCGTTCTGCGGATTCAGCTTACGTAGGGTTTGTTCGTCTTCTCCCAGTACATTCACTCTTCACTGCTCTGCAATAAGAAAAGCAGACTCACGTTAGTAACGTCACATGTAATGATTTTCAAAACTGTCATAGTTTGTTTGCAAATGGCGTAATAGTATATTTGGTTATTTCGTTATTATTTTCTCGTTGTTGTGTCATTCTTTTCATGGGATCAATTAATGAATAAAATCTACATCTTGTTGGCATATATATAACTTTACTATGTTGTATTCATTCAGATGTAGATGATAAATCTGAAGAACTGTCCTGTCTTCACCTCTCTCTATTATCTTGATATTTTTTAATTGAGCTGAGTAATGTTATTTTATTAATGAATTAGAAAACAATAATTACTTTCATGGTTACATTATTTCTTGATGTGTATAGTTGGTTAAAACAAATATAACAGTAGTTGGTAATTTTTACTGAGAAGATTGAATCCTTCTTAAATTTAGTTCAGTCAGTCAGCTACAACGTAGGACCAGGCACATGTGTGCATCGATCCAAGTTACTATACCTCATTGGCACAACAAGATGGACACCGGATTCATAGAAGCAATTAATTCAGTGATGGTAATATATTAAAGAAAGATTGTATATAAGGACTTAGTACTGCAAGAAAGAATTAGTTGGTAGAAAGAAAGATATGAAGCGATCTTAATCTCATAGTTTGAGGGAAGACAGAAAGCGTATACACCGACTTCAAGCACTGATGCCACGTTTTGCTTTGGCCGCCCCTCACTTTCTTCCAACTGTCTCTAAAACTAGTTAGCATTGCGCGCCGCGATAATCGATGTTCAGTTATAAGCAACACTTGACCAAACCATCTCAGTCGACGAAGAATCACAACCTCATCAACTGATTTATCATCATTCCCCTAATATTAACCAACCATAAACATTTATACAATTCGATCAAACCCATGTTATAAATATACATACATTATGAAATCATTTTTACCAACAAAAAATATAGATCTCATATATATATATATATATACATATATATACTCACTAACCTATCTGACTAGTACAGGAAAAACGTACTTCATAGTTGAGTATCCGCGGTAAAAAGAAAAGAAAAAAAGAAAAAAAAATCCTGACCACTTAATCAAGCATTCACTGAAAACGTTTTTTATCAAATATGATTTAACTAGAGAAAGTGTTATTTATTCGTTGTACAAGTAACTTTAATTAGGACTGTTGAGTGTTTCTGTTCATTGAGAGAAAACAAAGAAAACTAACAACATCATTTCAATGTATGAATGTTTTACCAGTTTTTTATTGCAAATACAATTCTCTTATAACTTATTTGATTCAATGTTAAATTTATGTGACTTTTAGTTGGATTTAACTCATTTACATATTAACATAATGAAAAGTGTTTGTAATGAAAATGAAATAGGATATTCTCGTTAATCGCTTAGTGTTTTTTTTTCAAATTTTAAATTTACTATAGAAAGAGAAATCTTAAATTTTATTTCACAGATTGAAATCATGAGTCTGTTGAAGCTAGACCACCATGGAGAACCTGAAAGCACTGGACGGCCGTTTCGTCCTAGTATGGGACTCCTCAGTAGTGCGCATCCACGAGATTCGAACCCAGGACTTATCAGTCTCGTGACGAGCGCTTAACCAACTAGACCACTGAGCCGGCATCCATTGGTGTTAATGTCTAACTTCAACCAATCCACGAAATTGCGCCACCGTATACGATTGTCTTCAGTGAGTTGATATCTCACAACAGACCTGGTTGAACTCAACTGGTAACGGCTTCTCACTAGAAATGGATACCGGTCCAGTGCTCCCAGGTTTTCCATGGTGGTCTAGCTTCAATTGACTCATGATTTCAATCTGTGAGATTTCTAAAATCTCCACAAACCCCTTTTGATACTAAATTTTATTGTTAAAAAATTTGACCAACCGCTTAAGTGATTATTCTATCGAAAGATATATATTCAATCAAGTCTATCTTACATTTAGGATTATTCTTGTTCTTAATTACTATCAAGAAATCTTAATACTTATTTACTTACACCTGTTAACTCTTGTGGAAGAACATAAGCTGCCCAGTAGCATTCTCTGTTGAACTCTGTCCTTAAAAATGTTTTCCAGTTGTTTCTGGTTGATAATCATTCTTCTAATGTCTGCTTACAATTTCAAACTCAGTGTGTTCTTTTGTTTTCCTTTTTTTTGTTTATCTTCAGAATTTCAAGTTACGGATTGCCTCGTGATGCAGTTTGGTGACTTTCGTAATGTGTGATAAAATGGGTGATTGGAGGTAGTCAACAGAAAACCTTGTACCTACGTTTCGTGCTATTTTGCACTCGTCAGTAACGGGTACCTCAAATCTTGAAGGAACTAGTGCTCCTTGATGGATTCGATCCCATGTCACTCAGCTTCATAGTCAGCGATGTTACCACTAAGTTTGAAATATGACAAGAACAGTTCTTCATTCATTATATAATCACACTGAGGACATTGAAATATTCTACTTTGACATTAACTTGTCATTGATAAAAGAATGAATCAATTTCTTTGCTTGTCTTTTGTAAGATTTCCTTTACTGAACATCATATCATTTGAATAAAAACTTTTATTCTACAAGTTTATTCAAATAAATCAAAGTGTTTTTATCAACTCTCCCTCTTTCTCTCCATTATTCTTATTTTTCTCTTTTTTTCAAGAATCAATTTGGTTTGTAAATGTTGCAAGTTGTAATCTTTTGAAAGTAGGAGACTAAGAGACTTCAAATCATCAGTGATGTTATCAGATATGTTATAAATGTTTTGTTATTTAGAAATGTTATTATAAACGATTTTATGTAACCTTAAGAGTTAATAATTTGAACGAATATGAATACTATCAGAAGGGGTTTTTGTGGATATTATAGTAATTTAATAGTTAAGTTCATGAGTCAGTATCTACAAAAACCCCTTCTGATAATAATCATTATATGCTCACTAGTGACTGACTTCAAGAGGTATTTCGTGGAGTTCTAGAGAGAAGCAGTGATCATTGGAGTTCAACTGGGTCTGTTGTGAAATAGTAACTCACTGAACATAATGGTGGATATATCTCGATTTGGTGGATTGGTTGAAGTTAGACATTAACACCGTTGGATGCCGACTCAGTGGTCTAATGGTTAAGCGCTAGTGTGCGAGACTGATAGGTCCTAGGTTTGAATCTCACAGGGTGGGATCGTGGATGCACACTACTGAGGAGTCTCATAATAGAACGAAACGGCCATCAAGTGCTTCTACGTTTTCAATGGTGGTTTACTTTCAATTGACTCATGAACTCAACTATTAAATTAACGTATAAAGACATTGAGTTTTTAGTGATCATCGCTTCTATTATAGAATAATTCATCAGGTAAAACATGAGCATTTCAAAGAAGGTGAAAATAAAAAAGTGTATGGAGCTATTTAGTGCAGTTTTTTTATCAATCAGTGATTACATAGTCAGGACAAATAACATCTTAGTTGTAATGTTTTTCTGCTTCCTTATTCTCACTTTTGTAAATCGTAAAACGTATGAAATAACAAACATTTGAGTACCTGTCCCACCGTGTGAATAATATTGCTAATGTATACAAATAAGTAAATGGAACGAAATTTCTTTTTCAAAACAATAAGAAAATTTGACTTCTGTTTGTAATCGACTGTATTTCCTATTGACTTTCAGTCACTTGGTATCAGAAGTAAGGATCATTTTTTTCAATGCGCAAATCAGTTATGTCCAATCACAGTAATGAACTATTTTTGATTGAGTTTTAATTGTTGACCAAGATATTTTGAATGTAATAGGCCGAATAATATACTAAGCCTATTTTATTACTACCATAGAATTATACATCATGCTTTACAGTACAGCTCACCTAATTTATTTTGTAAGATAAGCCATATACTTTAAGCTTATTCAAATATTTCTTCAGGGATATGAGAGGATGTATCAACCTTAAAATTAAAATTTTTGATAGTACAAGCTTGTGTCTTAATTGACCTCTCTCCAATGATTTTGTTTTGTTGTATGCAAATATTTAGGTGTATATTAATACTTCAATGATATATCTATAGAGTGTTTCACCGCATAGGTATTTTATTTGTTTGATTAATTCTATAATTTGATCGTTTTGTCGTATTTTAAACTGACTACCTTTTCGGAAATCAAACTAAGAAATGTCAGACATTATCATTAGCACATTGTCTTTTAATTCCTGCTTTTGTCTCCCATTTGTCCAAATGAAAGTCTACCGTTTTTTCATTGATCGTTGGTTTTGTCAGCTATATCTACTTCATAGCTCTCAAGAACTGGAGGTTTTAAGTTTTATCTCTGATAGGATCATGAACAGATAATGTTGAAAGTACTTACAACTGTTCAGTACTTCTAATTTTTTACTAGTTATTTAGTTTAAGTCAATCCGTATTGTAAACCAACATTTTAATCTTAAAGATCAATACAAAGTTTAAAGTAATTACAAACCATACTGTTCTTACCTTTCAAAACGACGTGTGAAATACTACCATGTCACTAATTTACTTAATCTAAATATGATTAATATACAAACTAATATTATTGATGCTAATTGAATTGTCAAATACAATCAACCTTACACAAATTTTTCACACTAAATTATGTAACAATCTACATTTGGTCACTTTTCACCATTTTCTTTTCTTTTCTTTTTCTCTTTCTCTTGGAATGGTTAAAAGCATTTTCATAACTACTTTTTCTCCATTATGTATATAACATAGAAATGAATTTGTACAAAAATACTTTAATCTTTATAGACAGCATCAATTAACACTGGTTGTTGTATGGAAGAATGAAGAGAAAAAACACTAATTTAAGACAATTGTTTAAGTCTTTAAATGTTTAATCTAATAAAGCTAATTGAAATAGTGCCTATAGTTTAACAACAGTTTGTAGGCTTATAGTTTAGAAGGTGTGAAAACATTGATGTTGGATTCGATGAAAACAGTTGGTTCCCTTAAGTTGTTGTTGTTGTTGTTGTTTTTTAGTAATCTTTTGACGAATTCGACATGAGTTTGTTTAGTTTCCTTCAGTTTCTTTTTTTTGTAGGATATTGTTCATAGGTAGATTTATGATTTTAGGAAGCTTATAAGTGATATAGGATTGATGTTTGTCTTCTTAAGTAGTTTGGTTAGAATAAATTTAAAAATGCAGTTTGTAATGAGGAATATTTCTCTTCACTTAGGTTTCCATCATAGTTCTATACTGATATGATCTAAGTTATATATATGAATGTAAAATCAGTGTCAACCACCTGGTTGTTACTTGTTATGAACATATATCTAAGTATGATGTTATCTGTATTAATGTAACTGAGTTGATCATAAAGTGAATGCAAATATTTTTAATCACTCAGTTGGATATTAACACTAATAAACGAAAGTGGCAAACTTAAGTTTATACTTGATATTCGCTTGATGACCAGTAAATATAGAGAGATTGTGTAGAAAACGCTTTTAACATTAAAGACTAAGTTTATTTTCATAGATTCTTGTGAATGAATATAAAAGAGAATAAACTTGAAAGTATAAAAGATTTTGAATAGGTCATAACCTTTAGAAACATAGATGGACAGTGGGTAGCAGTGGAATCCAGTTTGACACACGTTTCGTCCTATTTGGTACTAGGCAGCTGAATGTAACTGCATCTCAGAGTTCATGTTCACTCTAGGACGTGAATCCAGTACCGTTCGCTTCAAACGCCATCGCGTTATCCACTTAGTTACTGAGTCCTGATGGACAACTGCTTGTGCAATGGCATGAAGTTTTAAATTCACTTGATGTTGTTAAACAATGTGAAGATACAAGTAAACAATACCGAGTGAATTTAAACTTCACATCATTACACAAGCGAGCGGCTATCAGGAATCAGTAACTAAGTGGATAACACGATGGTGTTTGAAGCAAACGGTACCTGGTTCGAGTCTCAGAGTGAACATCAACTCTGAAAAGCAGGTACATCCAGCTGACTAGTACCAAATAGGACGAAACGCGCATCAAACTGGATTCCACTGTTAGCCACTATTCATTATTGTTTATAAAGCTTGTCACCGAAATCAATATCGAGGCAGTCCTCACAGCATGCACATATGCCAATAAGAGACTGATCAATTGCAGTCCTAAATAACGATGGGAAGATACAAATAAACAACACCGAGTTGATTTTGAATAGAATTTGATCGCTTTTTGGAGATATAATAAAATTACTTGTTGAATTGATTTTATTGTGGTTTGACAGAATATATTGTTAGCTTTTCATCAGCTTATTAACTAATGAAAATGCATGTAATTAAAAATCATTTCGTCACATGTTATCTGCTCATTTGTAGCGTTAATCGATGATCCGTCCAGAAACAAAGCATAATTTTCTTCCAGAATATATAAACAGTTTGACATAAAGGTAATTAGGATAGTTCTGGTTTATTTGTCTTGATGACTGTTCATTAATTGTAATTGTCAATGTTTCTCATGAACATAAAGACATTGAGGAACTAGACATCTATTTACGTGTACGTTTATTTGATCATTAGTTTAATTTATATGCTGAAACTAATTAATCCACGGTCAACCTATTTTGTTTGCAGACATGGGAAACTAGTTTTTTATTATTTGCAAAATGTATTCGTAAGTATGTACTCATTAACTGTATGTTGTTATCTTGGCTTAAAGTATCCTCATAGGATGTTATCATGAATAACATAAATAATAAATGTTCTCATATATTGCACATAAAGAATATGTACTTTTGCATGTCAACCTAATGATTTAATTATTGAACTCTCATCTTGAGAACTGAAGACTTTGGGTTCAATACCGTAATTGGGTCCAATCTGTTATGAATATTAACTTCAAACTGAATAAATGCCTATGGTTATGCTAATAAGAATTCAATTTAATAGAACTACAAATTAAATATTCTCTTGATGAACACTGAAAATATTAAAATGATCAATGATAGTTCAGATTGATTCCTGTTTTTATTCGAGTAAAATATAACACTTCGATCTCTTTATAAATCATGAAGAGAACGTTTATGCTCAATCTGTTATTCATTAGATTAAGGATCATAAAATTACTTGTTTTAACATTGAAATAACTTTTTGAATAGTTTCATTGTCGTGGCTCTACTTGTTCAATCAATGTTTAAGATGAAATTACTTCAAAAACACGCATAATAATAACAACATTACATGTGAATA